ACACACAGTGTGTAAGTGTGTGAGAAAGAAGTGTTTTCCTGACACAGTGAGCAGTTATCTGGGTTAAGGGAAGAGAAGGCAGACAGAAATTAATTATGAAAATAGGAGGACGGCTGCTCAAGCTTAAGGAAAGCTGTTTAGAATGAATTTCTTAAAGTGCAGATAAAGTTAAACATGTCCTTTTTCTTTGTGATAATATTAAGGATATATTTTCAATAAATGGCTAAACTATCAAATGATTATTCTTGAAGCCTTATGATAATAATGTCTATTTGTAGCAGCTTGTCGCTTGGCGTAAAGACTTACTGTACACAATAGGTAGCTTTCGCATAAAAGAAACTCGACCTTCCCACCTCGAACAATTTTCATCATAACCAATTATAACGGTGTAAAAAGATAACTGGACTCGAGCGAGGGTCAGCAACAAAATCAGCTTGATTCAGTTGCTTTGAGTGTCCTTACAGCCTCCGAGCAACGCAGCGTGAAGCAGTGTGATGTGACACTTTTGTACTGAGCCCAGCTTGCTGTTATCCCATGTCAGTCTTTGTGCTAAGCTAAGCTTTCTAGCTACTGGCTATTATTATCCCTTGTAGCCTAATCATCATACAGCCATGGGAGTTAAATCAGTCTTCTCAGAAATAGAATAAGGCTTCCCCTTTCCCAGCTAGACCAACTTTGATGTTTTTAAAGCTTTTATGCTTAGGAGCTAAATGTAAAGTGTTAGCGACACCAGTTGCATTTGGAGCAAGCTTTACCGTGACCTGGATGACTGAGAACCTACACAGATAAAAGAGGGGATATTTATGATTCTCATTCTATGAAATGGGAGAAGCATTAGCATGTGACCGTGGGTCGATACGATATGATACACTTTATTGTCCCCTTGGTGGATGCTCAGTTGTGTGACTCTCACGGTCAGTGTGTGAGACCTGGCAGCTCTAGAGCCTGGACATTTTAAAAGACAGGAATAACAAAAAAAATATGCACATTCGTTGAAGTCTCATGGCAACAGGGAGCCAACAGATGAACAAATGTTTGATGTGTGTTTTTGAGGTCCCATGTTAGCGGCCCTCTTCCAATACTTCTTACCCTGAAGCCATGTTTCCCCCTGCCAAACAGATTGCATTGTTGATTTTCCCCCAACATGTTAGTTTAGCTGTTATGTTACGCAGATGAACACTGAGTCAGATTCTTGTGGTTGTTTCGCTGGCACGAGATTCTTTTTTTTTTGTTGTTGTTGCAAATTTGATTTGGCAACAGGGTTCAAACTTTGGCCTTTTCGATAAAATCTGTCATGATGAAAAGGTAATTCTGAGATATTGTTTTGTACTTTTTACTCAGACATAAGAAGATAAACGATGTTGCATTGCAGTTTAGTTAGGTTCTGGTTCTGTTAAATAATGAACACAAACCAGGCATTCATGCATTTTTAAAGGTTACAAGTAACTGAGGTATTTTTTCCCAGTAGCATCCCTCTCACTTTTTTTTTGCTTAAAAAAAGGTCAAAACAGTAATTATTCCCCTCACCAGGTTTTTTTTTTTTTTTTTTGCGTTTCTGCAGCATCACTGTGTGCCAGTTTACACTTGTAGCACATATTTTACAGAAGGCACATGTGTAATGATGCAGAAGATTATTCCAGAAGCAGCTGGGGTAATGAGGCAGTATGATGGGCATCAAAGAAAATCCACAAGTTAATATCACATCACAGACGGGGGGCTAAAAACAGTTAAAGGAACCACAAACATATCCACACATGAACACACACACACACACACACAAGCTTACACATGCACACACTCTGCTGGCTAACAAATGTTGTTAGCAGCAGATTTTTAACACCAGATTCACACAATATGGTAGGTTTTATCCCTGCATGTTCAGACTTAATTAAGATGCTTCCTCGTGTTTTGGCAAGCAATAAAATACACAGAAAATCTTCCACAGTTTATGACCTGAATGCAACATTTTTACCTCGTTTTTTTTTTTTTTCAATCTCCAAAACGTCTTTTTTTTTATACAACGTGACCAATCTCATAACCCATGAACTCTCATCATGTTGATGCCTCTGGGAAATATGGTCAACTTCTCAGTCATTTTGGTGCAAGCAGCCGACTCAGTTATACGACTCAGCTAAGCCCTCTTTTTCTGTACCTGCAGCGCTTACAGTCCAATTAACAACTTCAGAAGAAGCCATGTGAAAGCAAAGTGGAATCTCCTATCCAGACATGTCTTTAAAAGAAGTGTTTGTTTTTTAGTTTATTAAAGCGTCTGTTCATCTGTCTCTGTTGAGTCTCAGTCTTGCACAGATGCTTCTCTGTGGCTTACTTAGGTTGTATGAACCACAAAAAGAAATTGATTTCCTTGTGATTTATTTGCAATTACCAAGTCTTAAGTTTGCAGAAAATATCAACAGTATGATGCAGATTTGCTCGAAGTAAAATCGAAAGCTTTGTCAGATCTGCCCTCAAGGTGAAAAGGAAACACATTTTCAAATCGCCAATTTCACGACACAGCGTCAAGTAGATTTTTTGCTCAAGTTCAAATTCTTGAGACTCATAAATAGTTTTTAGACTCCCTTCCATGGGAGCCTCGATATCATTAGAGCTGATAAATGTCCTCCTGCTTTTGCTCTCTTTACAGCTTACCAAAGCTTGCTGAAACTTAAAATATATATATATATATATATATACACACACACACACACACACACACACACACACACACACACACACACACACACACACACACACACACCCACAGATACCAAAGTCTGGTTTGTGTACACATTGCTGCAAAATGTTCCATCTTTTTTTTTTAATTTATCATATTTCATTTCTGATTTTGAAACCACAAGGCCGATGCCATAATCTTCTGTAAACCCACTTGTGAAAACCATCATCTTAAAGGCTGCAAACAACAGTTTCAATTTGAAATACATCAAGAGGTCATAGACTACCATTATATGAACAATGAGAAAACATTTTTAGCTTAAGATTGGTTATTAAAAAAAACTACCACGAGTGTTTAAACCTTCAGAGAAAACCTTCCTGTTTGATTGATAAAGATGCACCTTTGTGTGCTGTTGTATATATATGTGTGTGTGTGTGTGTGTGTGTGTGTGTGTGTGTGTGTGTGTGTGTGTGTGTGTGTGTGTGTAAGTGCAGAGTGTAATAAAACAAGATGTGCCATGGCTCTCTCTTGTGGCAGGTGAAAGTGAACGCTTTACTGTGTATTTTTCTGTCACATAAAATAGATTTGCAGCAAAAGTGATGTCACCGCACAGAGAGTTGAAAGAGTTGCCATGGATACTGACAAACTCGGTCGTGTTTGGCCCTGATTGGGTGGGGTGCTGCTACAAACACAGAGTGAGAGTGTGCGAGAAAAGCAGAAAACTGTGTGTGTGTGTGTGTGTGCTCGGCCTCTGTGTCCCCGTTTAACACCTTTGATATCTGAAATCTGTATAAACACCGTGTGACTGCACATTCATATGCACTTTGTGTGTGTGTGTGTGTGTGTGTGTGGAGCTGAAGTGTGCGCGCAATTGTGTACCGTCTTTCTCATCCAATTATCTCTCAGCTCAGCTCGGAGCTGATGTACACAGAGCCGTCTCATTATGAACAGTTAAAACAGAACCAGAGGCCATTACAGGAAGCTATTACAGCACAGTAAATAGACTTCCAGCACAGTTTGTGTCTGTGGGTTCTCTTCTCGGGATAATTGCATTCTAGAGGTATGCAATGTGAATCTGTGTTGGCAGCCATGTAACATTTATTGGACCAAACGATCTCTGCTCTGCTCTGCATGTGTGTGTGTGTGTGTGTGTGTGTGGGTGTTGTCCTTGTAAGTTGTTGATAGAAAAGCAAAGACTTTGCATCTTTAACTTAACCTTGAAGTGGTTAAAATATGCTACTTGTAGGTTTATTTCATGACCACAAATTTGAGTGTAGAAATGGACTATTGTCAGCACCTTTTATCCAATCTAATGCACTTTATTTAAAGAGCGCTATTAAAACAACACTTACCAAAGTGCAGCACAGAGAACTGATAGCAGAAATAAAAACGATAAAATACATTCAAACATATGAAGGCCATTAAAACACACACTGATGCTCTAATTAAGAAAGTGTGTGCTGTAGCAAAAAGACAAAGTCTCAGAAGAAGGAAGAATATTAAGACTTAAACACGCTGACAGTTTGGTTGACCGTGTTCATAACCTGCACTAATCGGGTGTCCACTGTCTGTCATCTGACCTGTCAGATTTGTTATTTTAGATATTCCAGTCTGCATGTATCCAATCTGATGATGAGGTGGAGAGGCTATAATGAAATTTGATATTGAATCAAAAATCCCAGATGAAATCAAACCCCGGATAGCTGGAGCTGCCCTGCACAGAGTAATATGCCTTATATGCGTTGGTTGAGTTTTTGACTATCTGCTCTTATTTGACTTTTCTGATAGCGTTGTAGGTACAGTAATGATACTTGTGTTTTGTAAGTATGTTGTCAGCCCACAGTTTTTAACAGTTTCATATCTTAAATTTAGAAAAACAATTCTTTTTTTTCCTATAACATACACAATTTTTTTTACCAATAAGAAGTTCATTCATTTACACATGTACTCCCTTCACTGTGATAATGGCCGATCCAAACAAAATAAATCAACAGGTTCAAATATGAGTTCTGATCAGTGGCGATTTTGGTGTCTGTTGGGGTCCAAGGGAAAAAAAATTCAAAGGGGTCCCCTCCAAGCTGCGTTCATCCCCATTATGTTATAAATAATCTGACACCAACACATTTTTTTAGCGGGTGTTATGCATTAAAGTGTGTCTATAGTCCATATTTAGGCCCAAGCAGTTGCCTGTTTTAAAGAAGCTCAACTTTGAAAAAAGTTTTGATCGACTAAAACTGCTGCAAGCGCAAGGGAGGGAGAGTATTTAGTACGTTGATACATTACACACACTGTGACTTGTTTATAATCGTTCAATGTTTCTTTCTGGAAGGTGTGATGGCTAACAAGAAGGATTTACCAATTGAGGATGAAGAGGACGAGAGAAATTTGAACTACAATCCCCCTGCCCAGAAGTCTTTGGAGGAGATCCAGGGACTGGACAAAGAGGACCAGAGTCTGGTCAAGTACAAGCAGACCCTGCTGGGGAAGTTACCTGTTCCTACAGGTGGGTGTGTTTATTGATCTGGACGGTTACCTTCAAGCACTAACATCTAATAGTTTTGGCACCCAACATAATCAAGCAAAAACATTTCAACAATTCTGGTTTTAAGGAGTTTTTCCTGCAGAGCTAGCTATTTCCACTTGCTTTCAGTCTTTATGCTAAGATCTGAGATGAGTATGTAAAACAACAAATAAGGAATATTCCCAACAAGTAATGTATGTGGTGTGTATTAAAATGAAGAACACTGATACTATAATAATTACACTGTCTTTTATCTCCAGACCTCTCTGTACCTAACGTCCAGGTGACCAGACTTACCCTGCTGTGTGACACGGCTCCTGAACCAATCACCATGGACCTGACAGGTACACAACCTGTGCATTCAATCGAACACTCAAACATTAATGTTAAGGATCTTAGATGGCGCTGGCACACCATCGCTTCCTATATAGTGACTTAAAATCACAGGTTTTCACTGGAGCAAGGCGTGCTGCATTTTCTGTGCAGAGAGACTGCAGTGGGTGTGTCCACGCTGGAGAGGAGAGACAGCTAAATGTTTGCTTAGTGGGCAGTATCGACATTTCCCCCCTGGGAAGGCGACATGCAGGGGAGTGAGGCTGCTTCGAGTTCTTTTTAAGCGTGTGTGTGTGTGTGTGTGTGTGTGTGTGTGTGTGTGTGTGTGTGTGTGTGTGATACTGTAATGTGCATGATAATCAGATGGCTGCAAAGAGATTATGTTACTCGCTTCAATGCGTTAGTTCGTACATGTGTGTTTGCAAGCATGTATGCGTGTGTGTGTGTGTGTGTGTGTGTGTGTGTGTGTGTGTGTGTGTGTGTGTGTGTGTGTGTGTGTGTGTGTGTGTGTGTGTGTGTGTGCAGGTTCACCTATCGTTGATTAGTGTGTGTCAGGGTGGTTTGATGAATGGGTTTAACAGTTTGTGTTTCTGGATCCTGGGTTTTTCGTGTGTTCATGAGTGTCTGTTGTGTATGTTTGTGTGTGTGTGTGTGTGTGTGTGTGTGTGTGTGTGTGTGTGTGTGTGTGTGTGTGTGTTTGTTGGGTGCAGAAACAAACATTTGATGGGTCAAAGAGAGGGTACAGTACAGACCCATTGCCTTTGCAGTATGTGAAGGACTCCATTATCTTGAAGAAATACATCAAAACAAAAACAAAAACAAACAAAACAAACAAACAAAATTTGAATCTATATTTTTTTTTTACATTTTCAAGTTGACAAGAAACGGATGGTCCATACTTGGTCTGTATAGCTGGACAGTCCACAGTCAGTGTTATAAGAAAGAGGGTGTGTATGTGTGTGTGTGTTGAGGAGGGATTTGTCTTTGTCTGAGGATTCCCCTGCCGACTGCACCCACAATAAAAAACACGCACATTCACAAAACACAAGACAAAATCACAGACTGCTCAAAGGTCATCTGGTTGCTAGGAGATACTGACGTTCACTCTGCATCCAACACACTGTGATAGAAAGTATGTGTGTAATGGATGATGTGCTGAATTGCATAAAAAGGTAAGAGCCTGCTGTTCTTCAGCTCCAGACGGATCTGAGGCCTTCAGATCTGGTCTCAATCACAGATGATGGAGAAAGGAGAGAGGCGGATGGAAGATCAATTGAATAATCTCCACTTGGATTTGAGCGCTACAAATGTCTGGCAGGAAGACCATTACAAATTGAAGCGTGGACTAAAGGAGCATTTCAGCTTTCATAAACATGAGTAGTTTACACACCATCACAGGGAGTACTTACCAGCCCAGGAAATAGTTGCTAGTTGCTACAGAGGAGTTCAAATTTACTTGAAATGACAGCAGAGGCCATAAAGCGCAAATATGACTTCATACCCAAGAAGCAAGCCAATATGGAAGTAGAAAACATTTCATTTCCTTGAGTGTGTGCTTGAGGCTGGCTGCAAAAGATAAGGAATCATTTATAAATACGTGGTATCACTTTGCTATTGATAATGTCACATGGCCGTCTTTAGGTCTAAACATGACTCATTTGCCCTAAAATGAGCAGAAATCTTTGGTTTCCCTTATTTGTGCTGATCCTGCCTAAGTATTGCGATGCGACGAATCACTGAATCCAGACCGCTACATAAGCTGTGTAGTTAAGCAACGCTGATCAAACAGTGAAAAATAGCCTTTACATTTCCCAGTGAAGCTGTAAAAATGTAGATTCTGTTAAATGTTGATGAATTTGTGCGCTTGTGCCGTCGCGCTAAAGAGGAGAAGAGAAATTGCTCAATGCTGTGCGAGAGAAAGTCATCTTTAATCATTCATCTGTTGAGCAGTATTGAGTAGCAGTGTAATAATCCATCATGCTCGGTGTATCGCGTTGCAGCCGTGATAGCCGAGCCGGCACCAGGCTGGACGTGAAATGGACTTTCCATCCGAGGCTGAATGCATTAGAGAGCTCATTATACACTGTAGGCTGTGTTACCATTGCAGTAGGAGCTCTAACTGCTAATGGGCATTTACTGCTCTGCATGTGGGTGTGTATGTACTAGCGAGACGGAGAAGAAAGGGTGGTAAAATCCCGGGTCAGATTGTACTGTAGAGGTAATTGTCTTTTTTTTTCACCTTCACCTTGTATGAGTTTGTTTGGGTGGATGTCTCAGCCTATAGCTTCTCACCTGCTAACCGCTCCCTCGTGCCTTCAGGAGGTGTGAACTCCCTTTAGCGCGCCCAACCTCAGATTATCTGTCAAAACAGACGACGACAACAGGGCAGGTGGTGCAAAGAGTGTTTGCTTTTTTTTTCGTCCAGTATGTTTTTCTATGTCCAGTGAAGCATTTTACACATTTCTTTTTGATAAGGTAACAAACACAGTTATCATCTATGCATTAAATACATCACTGTGACATCGTTTTGGAGTCATGAAACATCCATTTCCATGAGTCTTAACCAAACAATATCCATTATTTATCTTATTCTTGAGCAATATTGTGTTTCTTTTCATTTGAATGTCAGTAAAAATGCTGCACAAGCATATTTTGTAACAAACCCCTTCGCTCTAGGATATAGTTTTATTCACTCTGTGGCATGCCGCCAAATGGCTCTGCACAAAGACGTATCCTTGAGTCTGATGTTTCAGCGCTCTGCTGCCCTAAATTTATAAGCACAGGCTTTGTTAAACTTTCATGTTTCCAGTCTTCAGGGTTACTACTGCTGAGCACGCATGCTACTACAATCCCACACACGCTTACTGTATGTATTTAAGCCACCAATCTGTGCCGCTACATTTCTATTTTACAGTATTGTTATGTCATCAATACTGTTAGTGATCAGAGTTCTATTGGGTGTAACAACAATAACAGATCAATCTGTTTAAAGAAATGCATGCTTGCCTGAACCTTTGTTGCTGTAAAAGCAGCATATATTAAATATGCCCCTGAAGAAAAAAGAAAAAGAAGTAGAAGAACATAATAACAGCTGTCTCCCAAAACACATATTGCTATTTTCAATCCAACATTATTATATGTCTTTGATTTATAGTTACAGTGTGGTTCTTAGAGCTTCTTCATGACCTCAATCTTGGCATTACGGATGTCTCCAATTGAGCCTTTGACATGATGTGGTTCTTTCCTGATCATACAATCAGCTCCTGAAAAGGAGAGATAACTATCAAGGCGTCTGTGTCATGTTGAAATCTTTCATGGTTGAGTTCCTCTTTCTCGTCAACAGTTTGATTTACACACGTTCCCTTAGGATGAACTCTAACAAATATGATGTTTACATCAGCCTCAGATGTCATTTGTGTGTAAGTGCTACTTAGTAAATTTCGAACTGCTAACACACAGAGCTAATCAGTTCTTTACTGGAGTAAGTCAAAAATATGATGTTATTTGGTGTACCAGGCATTTTTAACTTTGTTATTTCCATAATCTGTTTAGCCTTTTGCAGCAGTACAATAGTTATCTCATGTGAGCTTCAGCTGTGTTTTCTGTGGGTAGATCTTTCCTGTGCATGTGCATCCTTGCATGAGAATAAATGGTGTGTGTATGTGTGTGTATGTGTGTGTGTGTGTGTGTGTGTGTGTTAGAGGATCAGGTAGACAGCGCTCCACACTGACCTATTTTCTCAGTCAGACGCTCCCAGGGGAGGCCGGCATCTCTCCTTTTTTCTCTTTCCTCCCCGTCCCCTGAGACGAGAGAGACGGGCGAGGAGAAGAATCCAAAAGGAGAGGAGCGCTTTATGCAACAGTTCTTAGAAAGAGACCGACTAAATGAGACAAGAGTGAGAAGGAGACGAGGCAGTGAAAAATGTTCACCCTAGAGGAATGGTTTTATTAGCTAAATGACTTCCATTTTTTGATTTTATGTAATGGGACGTTTAAAGTGTTTCATGTTGTGGTGTATTACTCCCACACCTCTGACAGTCTTCAAAAGCTGAGATTCCTCTTGGCAAGTGTAAGATGCAGTCCCCTGGAGGCTTTCATCTATAGGCATACATACATTTATTTTTACCACGTACGACACCAGTGGGAATCAAATCTGTAACCTGTCTCTGCCGCCTTTTTCAGGGAGAGATGTTCTTCAGTTTAAGACGCCGTTCGTCGGTTGCTCCCTTTCTCTTTTTGTCGATCTTCTGTCTCCCTCCTTCAACACATCCCTGCTGTCCGTTTCTATCTTCCCTCCTCCTCTATATCTCCTTCATCTCCTCTCTTCCTTCCTCCTTTCCGTCTATTAAGAAGCACTCAGGACTGATGGTTCGTTTTAAATTGAGATATAAGCTGATTAGGCAGTGGATACATTTCTGATTGTGATGGGCTTTTACAATGGCTTTTGATGCCCCCCCCCCACCCCACCCCACCCCACCCGCTGCATGAACCCATTCAACTCCACGGCATGACAAAGACAATTTTATGCGACACACAAGACGTGGGTTTGACTCAGAATCTACTATGAATGCAAAGGGAATCACACCTGTAAGCATGACATTGACTCCTCCTTTTGAGCTGTAAACATGAGGAACATTCTCCAAATCCCCTTCAATGATTTCATCTTTCAATTTGAGTCACACTGAAAAAAAGGGTTAGCTGGATCTATACAAGTATATCATCTATTTCACAGCACACAGACTTCATTTGTGACTGTTCAAATGAGGAAAAGATCTGTTATTTTCTTTTCAGAACTCTCTTGTTCCTAAACCTTTATAATGGATGTGACTAAGTCATTAACAGAATTGATGGTGAGAATAAAACACAAAGAAGTAGCCTATAGGATTGTCAGGACACAATCATTTTAAGCTTTGATGTGATTCTTGATTTGAAATTCAAAGTATCAGCAAAAAGATAAATAATAGTATTCAGAAGTCCCCGGCACCAAATTTGGGGTATTCTTGTCTTTAGTCACCAGAAATTTGCAAACACACTTGACTATGTCTCAGTATAAAGTTGCAAAAAAGGACTTGAGAAATTTCAGTGTTTGTCGATCTGTAAATTTGAATGGAGCGCCGCTGCTTTCACTACACCAAAAAAAATGAAACGATTTAATACATTTTTTTGAGGAACTTTTTGCCTTTATAGGATAAGACAGATGAAGAGAGACAGGAATCGTTGGGAGGAGACAGTGGGGGAGGACATGCAGCAAAGGGCCAAGGTCGGATTCAAATCCACGTCCGCTGCGCTGAGAAGCACTGTCTCCGTATACCGGGCGCGTCATCACTTTAATGTGATTTTGCTTGTTGATTTATTTGTTTGCTCCATTTTTATGTGACCTCAGATCTGTTATATCAAATGTTTTATTACTCCCAATAACAAAAAACACAAAATACAATTTTGGATTACACCTTTAAGTGTATGTTTTGGCGTATTTCATGATGGCTACTCTGACATAATTTTATTTGTTTATTCATCAAATGATGTCTAGTCTTTTGTCCTCTGCTGATTGCTTCAGGTCTTCTTTTGCGATATGATTCATGTGTTTTAAAAGAAAATCCCAGCGGTGTGATCACACAGTGAGTCACTTTGTAGCAGGTGATGTCATGTTGACCGTGAGTGATGTTTATTGTTGCTGTTTGTGCAGGAGACCTGAACGCTCTGAAGGAGAAGACCTTTATCTTAAAGGAAGGAGTGACATACAGACTAAAGATAGACTTCAAGGTAAGATGGATGGATGCAGTCCCAGTGGAGTGTTAGTCATGGAGAGATTTACTGTACATTACAACAAGAAAGGATCGCTGTTAATGTGCATAGATGAAAACAAGATAATCAGGTATTCACATTAAGTATTAAAGAGATGGAGGAGGAGAGGCCGTGCTGAGTAAGACAGTATGTGCTTTACTATCAAACCACAACATCAAACAAGACCATTATCATATTAAATACAGTGCTGTTCTGTTTACAGTGCCAGGAAAGATCAGAGCTGGAGAAGCAACTTGTCTTCAAACAGAGAGCATGTTATGAGGACACCTTCAGGGCAAACAGCATCACTGCACAAAAGCATGAAGTCTTTAACCCAATGATTCTTCTTTTGTAATAGTGGATAGTGTTATCTACCATAAAAAAATGGTTTTGCATAAAATTATTTTATTGTCACTCCATTGATTTATCCCTGAAGTACAGTTTGCTCATCACGAGGACTTGAACACAGCCTGTAAAAAATGAACCAGAAACCCTTTCTGAGAGAGAAGTAGGAAGGTTTCTGAAAAAATAGAAGTCTTGATGATGTCATAGTGATGTCATCATGGTGATCAAATCTTTTTTTTAGATGATTTTGTGCAGCCTACATTTCAAATTAAAGAATAAGGTTTTACAGAGGTTGTCACTTAGTAAACGGGAGACTCTTAATGAAATAAACTGATAAGTTGCATTGTGGGAAATGTAGTGTGTACTTTGTTTTTTTTTGTTTTTTCATATACTGTCTGACAAAGATTTGATGAATCTGTGTGTGTCTGCAGGTGAACAGAGAGATCGTTTCTGGCTTGAAGTACCATCATGTTACCTGCAGAAAAGGAATTACCGGTAAGGTCATTTTCCAAATGTCTTTGTTGAAGGAAATACTTGAATATTTATCTGCTGTTTACTGTGGTGATGATTATGAAAGTGAGAAGAAGACACACAGATTTTCTGCTCAAAAAATTCTCATTTTCTGCTCAGTTGACTTAAATGACATCACATAAGGCAGCGTATATGTTTCCACACAGCTATCCAGTTGAGCGACAAAAACTGTATGCAGCTTTCTTCTTCTCTAGAACCCCCAAATACTTTTAAACAGATAGAAAACACTGTGTAGTTTTTACTGGAATATACATTTTCTTAGGCAGAAAACTTGTTTATAAACTTGTATCTTGTGTCTTCCTGCAGTGGAAAAGGTGTCGCACATGGTGGGAAGTTATGGCCCTAAGGAGAAGGAGCACGAGTCTGTGGGCCCGCTTGATGAAGCCCCCATAGGCATGATGTCCCGAGGTCACTATCAGGTCAAGTCCCGCTTCATTGACGACGACAAGATTGTCTACTTGGCATGGGATTGGAACTTAGACATCAAGAAGGACTGGGATTAATGAAGGCAGAGAGATTGCGAGGGATGACGCCATCTTTCCCTTTCGTTCTCCCTTATCCTTCACCTCCCTGTTGTCCTCTCCCCAGTTCCCCAACTCCATCCTGAGAGGCTGACGCTCTACCTCTCTATCTGCTCATCTCTCTCCTTATTCTTCTCTACTCGCTTTTCTCTCCCTTGACTTGTTTAGTCCATGTCTTCTGAAAGCCATTAGATGACTTCAGAGAAAACAGCCCCTCGTCTCTCTGCCTTCTGTTTTTTTTTTTTTTTTAAAACCTGTATAACACACGATGAGGCTTTTGGAATCGTAAGATCCCCTTTATAACTTCCACCCATCTTTGTTATGTATCCAGTCATCATAAAGCCATGACGGGTTTGGAGAAACAGTCGATGAAAGGAATCCAGCTTAAGGCACATTAGGAAGTTCATTAGATATTTAGAAAACTTTCAAATCTGCATAACTGACTTTTCTAAAGAGAAGAGATGAAACAATGTTAAAACAGAGTTAAATGGGTTGATGCTCAGCTTTTGTTTTATCATTTCAAAGAGAACTCAAACTACAAAAGCTGCCTTTAAATCCAAAAGCTGCCAGAGAATCGTCCCGTTTTTAAAATATCCTACAGCATGAACATAAACCGGTGACACGTGTCTGTGTTTTACAGAGTAAACAACAAACTAATAATAGATAATTCGTCTAATTATTCAATAGCTGAGCTCATATGGCAGCCCATCATCAAACTCTCGAAAATCAATGACAATATTAATCATCCTGATTTCTCTGCCAATAGTGGGAAGTTGAGTTCTGAAATGTAATAAATAAAATTAGGAATGATTTTAAAAACTCCTGATTTAGAAAATATAAAGAAGAGAAAAGTCCATGCATTTAGGGTTAGATCGCTTTTATTTGTACTTTTATTCACCCAATTGTCTGGAGTCAGAAAAGAAACATATACAAAGAGCCAAAGTTTGCGTTTTAACATTTAAGCCTCCTAGACTTTAAATTATTGAGCTTTTGACTGATCAAGAATAAGGGTTCAACAATGTTCCTTTAAAAATGTCATTTTTTCTATGATATTTTCAATACTTTCATATCATTACTTTTTTAAATGGCATTTTGTTTTCTTTATTCTGCCTCACACAGAAAAAGTATCAGTACATCATCAACTGCAGCAAGAAATATTTTCTTTTAATAAAATGACCCTGAAATTCTCTTTTTTAATCCATAAAGGAAATGGTAAAGTAAGAAGAATTATCTGTGAATTCTGATTCATCCACATTTTAACATTTCAGTTTTCTCGAGTCTTTGTGAGGCTTTTATTTTGAAAAGGCAGACCAATGACAGACTGTAACTGAACTGTGCATATTGTAGAAAGAGATGCATGTACGTCCTTTAGGATTTGATACTCAGTACAAATTTACAAAGCAAAGCCCTTTCTAAACCTCTCTCGTATATCAAAGACACAAAATGTGAATACAATTCTGCTTTGAACATTAAGGAAACATAATGATCGTAGCTGAAACATGGAGTACTGTCTTAGGAGTATATCAAGGGTCGAACTAAATACCCTTAAAAAATAAGAGAAATCATTACAGTGTTAAGTCTTTGGATATGATATTGTTATTGTTGCTGAGCATACTGAACATTGAAAAACATTTGAAATCGTTGTGATCTAAGATTAACTGTAAATGTAGGCTTGTTGGGTGTTGCATGGTTAAGCAAGATTCTCTTTTCCTTTTTTTATGACTTTATTGTAAAATTCTATGTGATTAAAAAACAAAAGAAGAAGAAGAAGATACTAACGCAATATCCAGATGTCAATGGTTGCCATATACTTAAGATACGGTGATTACAGGGATGTTTTTAAAGGACCAGAGTCCTGGAAATATTTGTCTGTATCTTAAAACCCCGGCCTGTAACTATCTTCAAATATTTGTGTCCAATCGAATATCCTGTATCTTTTAATAAAGGCAATTCAAACAACCAGTGGGATAGTTGAAATATGTCGCCTGCACTGACGTGAAACTGTAGCTCAACATTTGGTTAAATGTTCTTATTCCTTGTGTTGCTTTAGGTAGATGGCAAATGATAATAAAAAATCTATGTTTCTACAGCCAGATCAAAAGGTCAAAGGTCAAAGGTATCTTTATTGTCCCCAGAGGGAAATTTGTTTACAGCCGAAAACACATAGACAACATTAAGAATGAAGTTAAGCTTAGCAATGACGTTGAAACTGCTCACTGCTTTTTGTCTTGATTACTTGCTCGTTTTTAATCTGAGCTAACATAGATCAGCCTAACCTAGTGGCTGATGGTCGCCCATTAGCCTCGTGTACATACCCTATGTAGCAGTTGCCTACACTATTATGTCCTCAGGAGAATTGCGCTGTTGCTCTTTGCGAGAAAGCAAATGGATATGAATATTCATGTCTCTTGCAATCATTACGTATTAAGTGTAACAAGAAAAGAATTGGAGGGGAAAAAAGTCGCTACATGTCTATCATTCAGTCATTTTTTACCTCAGTTGTCAGTGGAAAATGTTACTATACAGTATATGAGGATGGATTCACGATCGCAGTTAATCCAACTGATCCACTTAATATAATAGCTGAGCTAATAAATCAATGTGCTTCAGGATAATTGAGAATATACTTAAAAGCAGAGTAAGCCACACCGTCTATTCAAGGTCAACATCTGTGAGAAATATCCACTCCAGTGTCAAAAGTCTCAATCTATTAAAAGTCATCCCATCTGTCCTATTCCTCGGTGAACCAGCCCTCCCTTTCGGATCTCGTCATGGCCACGGTTGTGTTGTTCCTGCTGAGCGCCTGCTCCAGCAGGGCTCGTTGGGCAGTAGCTGGCAGGTAAAGAAAGGCGTAGACCAGGGCCAGCAGAAGCAGGGCTGCAAGCAGAGGGATGCCCCCAGTCCGAGGTCATAATTGGTTCATCACAGCGAGCCTGCAGAAACGACTTATCTGGCATTGTGTGTTCCTTTACTTACAGCATCTTCAGGAATAAGTTGGCAATGTCACAACCCCGATTTCAGAGATCGACTTGGTTTTGTCTCTTCAAAGTGAGAGACAAATCTGACATCTAGACATATGGGTACACAAGAAACCTTCAGTTTTCAAGATTTCAAATGTATCCACAGATCTCAAGAAACAGAGAGGTGTTGAAGATGGATAGTTTCACCATGGACAACATGAAATCATCTATATCCAGGGAAACATGAAATCCAGGTGTGTCTTCTTTTACAGAGTCCAAAACAAAGGATGACTTTCCCTCGTGTCTTCACAATCAGATACTCTTTGGAAAAATGTTGAGTAAATGATTTTATTGTTATCAGAGCAAAATAGAATCCTGGTTTTGATCAAAGACAAAACAATAGCTCCATGTTGTTGAAAGGGATCCTCATAAATGTATTTAACGCCCGCCAGCCTCTCTCGCTGTTGGTCTGACTGAAATGTTCATAATTTCTGCCACAGGCGTCTCTCAGACAAACCAATCTACCACTCAGCTCTGTGAAATGTTACGTAACAAAAAGCAGAAACCCGACAATAGGGAAATAAAGCCCACACTTAAACACCTGTTTCAGTTCTACACACATGACATCCACATGGAGGAAAGCAGATTGGGTTATGAAAATCCAATTATGTAACGGTTCTTGATCTTCTTAGCTGAAAACAGCTTCATACCTGGCTGCACTCGGGGATTATCAACCAACTGCGCCATATGTTCCAAACAATCAGTACTTTGTCAGCGTAAACTGTGAGGAAGTCCTAAGGTGATGGAATGAATGAGGAAAACTGATTAGTATTGGGACCTTGCTGACATTATGGATTCACAGGAAATTATTTTCCTGAGGAAGATGTTTGAGTAGTTTTCTGTTTTTTTCCCCTGACCCGCCCTTAATGCAGATTCTGAGAAGTTTTTCAGAATGTTACAGAAAGAAAACCATTTCAAGAAAGCCTTACAAAAAAAAATAAAGAACCTCGGCAGATGCGGTGCTGGAAAAGCTTGAAGGAGACGACACTAAATAAACAAAAACAATGTGTTGAAGCCAAACATGAACTGATCAAGTGAGGCAGTGTGTAACGGGGTTTTAACCTTTTATAGTCATGTAGCCTAGACATGGCGATGCTACGTCCGGCTTGGCCTACAAAAATATGTTACGTTTTTTAACCGTCTTTATTGACAGATTTAACATATACAAAAAAACATGTATACAAACTCTTAAGAGGATGAACATACAACAGCAAAATACACAGGAAGAAGTTAATTCAAACATAAATCAAGACTAGGGGGGATTATATATAAAAATAAATAAATAAAAATCTAACTTTTCCAAAAGAAAACATCAGGCAAATGTAAGCAGACAACAAACTGGAGCAAGGACAAAAAAAATCAACAAGGGCCAGAAATCAAAACAAGAAGAATTTCGATAAATCAGCAGAAATGCAGCTGTTGGATAAATCTGGTGAATTATTTTAAAATGGGTTTCTTTCACTTGAGGGAAAACAGGCACCTTAATATATTTGAAATGTGCTTCAGTCAGAACAGAAAGCTCAATTAACTCTGTGAACTTAAGTCTGCAGCTCTCTGTGGTAATCATGAATAACTTTGTTTGAGCAGTCATTACTGTCTTCTTTAAACTGAACTGACCTGTAGCAAAAAAAACAAATAACGAGATGGACTACAAACTCCAACTGAGGAGGGCAGCATTACACTTCTCAGTGTACATCCTACCGAAATTCTATTAGGAGAAGAAGAAGAAAAAAGGCGACATATAACATCGTAGAAGAAGAAGGAGACGCGGCTGCGCAGTTCAAGGTAGCACTTGTTTTGTTTACGTCTCTCTCTTTTTCAAGTTGTCTACTTTCGGTAAATATGCGCTGCTTATTTCTTAAAGCGTGCTATTATTTGCATTCATTCATTTTATTGGAGAATTATGAAATAAACCTTTAACTAGCTACTTTTTCAGGGTGGTTGTAATTAGTACTAAATCAGTGAAGCTTAAATGCTAACGGAAATAATAACTTGCTGATAGTTAAACTAAAACTTTAATTCTCAGATGTTTTAAAGCGATTTAAATATTTTTTTTAAATAATTTTCTGTACCAGTGTTTAAATTGTGTTGTTGGTGTTCAAGCCATGTGGAAACTAAGTACACTTACACAAAGCTAATTACAGTATTTGTTTTTTATTTGAATGTCTGCAATTTGTCTGCAAGTCTAATATTATGTTACTAAACATGATGAACCTTTTCTTTCTGCATTTGTAGAATTAAAATCAATACTCATGATTGATGAAAACGTGAAAGATTGACCTGAAAAAGAAAGTTTGAATGATCTCCATAAGGAATCCCTTCAGGTCATTTACAATAAGAAAGTAATAATAGAGCAGAGAGGGTTGGCAGTCTCCCTAATAAATACTTAGGCTTTGAATTCCTACTACACTTTTTGTCACAATTACACAGTTTATTTTTATGCCTTTTTTTTAGAGATATGATAGTGGAGTCAGAGATCAGGGACAAAGATCTTTTCAAACGCAGTCTTAAAACTCATTTATTCAGTCTGGCTTTTATAAAGTGTTTTATATCAATTCAAATCTTAATATTACTGTATTGTCTTTTTTATCCGACGACAATTTTAAATATTTTCCTCTTGTGTATTTATTTTATTATCTTGTTGCTTTTATGTGTCGTATTTTCTTTTCTTTTACTTCTTTTTTTACATATTTTTGAATTCTTATTGGTGTGCATCAGTCTCTCAATGATTTTATAAACTACTTTTTGTCAACAACTTTTCTGCACTCTTGTAAAGCGCTTTGAACTGCAATTTAATTTGTCTGAAAGGTGCTGTATAAATAAAGTTTAATTGATTGATTGACATGTCAGATTTGAACTCTGGGCGCCCACTCGGCGAACTATAGCCTCTGTAATTTTGGGGCACGCACACAAACCACTGGGCAACCGGCACCCCGTAATTACACAGCGTTTGATTGAACTACTTTTGTCTCTGTAGGGCCGTGTGAGTCGAGTCAGGTAAAGGCTGCAAATGATGACCACACAGCCGGCCAGCCTGGAGAGCCTGCGTGTGCTCCTCCACAGTGATGACTTCATAATAGTGGACAAACACTGGGACATCCGCATTGACAGCAAGATGTGGTACGAGAAGCTCACCGTGCAGGAGCAGCTTCGGCACCGCTTTCCTGAGCTGGCAGACCCCAGCACCTACTACGGCTTCAGGTTAGAATCACAATTATAATAACTGCGTCTGCTCTCTGACACCGTACTTATAGAGAGTAATAGCCCTTTTACCACACACACAAACACACACACACACCCCTACACACCTTCATTAAAGGTAGACGGGTTCAGTGTCTTGTTTAAAGATACTAGGAAACAGGAATCCAGGATCAAACTGTCAATCTCTCTATTAGCAGATGACCTGCTCTTATATTTATTATGTCTTCATCGTCTTTCTCTTCTTTCAACAGGTTCTGTCATCAGTTGGATTTCTCCACAAGTGGTGCTCTCTGTGTCGCCCTCAACAAGGCTGCCGCTGGTCGGGCATACCGCTGCTTTAAGGATCGCACCGCCACCAAAGCCTACCTTGCCCTGGTATGGAAGCAAAACTCAGAGTGTGCTCACAAAAGATTATTAGTACCATATTATATGCACATGTCTGGTGTCTGTATGTGACACTGCAAGGGAAAGAAAGTTGAGTTTGTCTTTCTTTAAAGGTTCGTGGATGGGTGGAAGAAGAGACCCAAACTTTGGAATTCCCCATCGGCAAGAATTCTTCAGAGGGGAAAACGCACATGATGTGTATCGAGGGAACAGAAGGTACATAAACCTGGCTCAGATTTTAGTGTGTCAGTGTGTGTATGTCTTGTATTTCTACATCCTGACAGGTAAAGCTTAATTTTGTTGAGTAATGAACTTTTTTTGTCACAGCAAAATCAGATGTTGACTGTTGTCTTTACA